TCGCGCTCACCTCAGCCGCGGGGATGCCCTCGGGGGGGCGGCACTGGAGCAGCACCTCTTGCTCCAGGGACACTTCTTTCCCCAAGGGCTCCTGCTCGAAAGTCTTCCGGAGATCTGGAGGAGGGGGAGAGGGAAAATAATTTAGCGCCAGTATTAACAGTTGGTGTTTTACGTGACGTTTGATTGCAACTCTGCACCGAACGTGAGCGATCTCTCCAAGCAGAGAAAACAGCACAGCCACCCCCTGGAAAAGAGCGCATTTCAAAAACACTGGGGCACGTTTTCATTTCACTCAGGTGGATTCACAGTGGATTCATTACTTATATTGTGGCAGCACACATGAAGGCGGGGAGGAAACAAGACCTCACTGTGACAGGTCATGGCCAAGCACAGAACCAAAGCCCAAGGAAGTCCCCTCCTCAAGCAATCTCCATTTGGTGGACTGTGCCAACACAGCACTGCAGAAGCATCAAGAAAATCACAGAAACCTATGAAACCAAAGCCCGTAAGCTCAGCTGTCTTAAGCTCATGGGCGAAAGCGTTCATTTAATGGACTTTTAATTTATGTGCATTACCTTTAGCTAATTGGCTTCTGTTGATGGGTATAAATGTTCCGATTACCCCTGCAGCACCAAATAGACGGCAGTGCCGGTAACGCGGAGCTGTGCTGTGCTGGGGACCCTCTCCAGCAGCACGGACACGGCGCAGGCGCCGAGGGCACTGGATCCAGCCTCGGGCTAGCTCAGCCCACGGGATGGCCGCGCACGTTGCCTGTTGGACAACTTGTTTGGGGCCTTGGTGGCAAAATGGCCCGGAGAATCAATCCCCTGCTGGCCACTGGCTTCAGGCTGCAGCAGAGCCATTTCTTTTTCTTTTTGCTCTCAAGTCAACCAATTCCCCAAGCCAGTTAACCGCGTGGCTGCACAAATAGTTGTGCCATGATGGAAATAAACAGTGCAGGGACAATTTAAAAGCCAAATATTTCATATTACGGAGCCATAACCTGAGGCTGAGCTGTAAACCAGATCACTGGAATGAACCAGCCTACAAATAACCCATCTAAAGTGTTATTTTTCATCCAGACTGCCCCCGAGATCTGATTTACAGGTGACCCCACAAGGAGCAGCATCGGCACAACCGAAAGGCCCAACGTGGGGCAAACGAATGCACAGATGGAGGATATGTGATATCTTCGCTGGGATAAATGGGGAAGTTACAACTTTGGTAATACAGCATATGAGCATGGTAATGAATAGTTCATTAATAACGGCTTTTAGGTGTTCTGAAATGGAGTGATGAGTAACAGCAGAGCTGGAGCAGGCGAATGACCATCCCAGCTTTCTCCTTGACACATCAATCTGCTGTTCTCCCCACTTTTCTGAAACATTAATAGAGCGCTGAAGTTATCTCACTAGCCTCCTATGGGCACAACAATCATCTCATGCATACATTTTGCTTTTAAAAAGAACAGTAAACGGCATTAGCCTAAATATGTCTAATAGTAGTAAAGAAAGCAGTAGTGCTTCAAAGGCGCCATTGGATTGGAGTGGGTCAATGATCCACAAACTGCAAATACACTAAGTAGAGGCATTGACATAATAGACAGTAATGTCCTCAAAGGAGCCATTATATACTATTGAGTAAATGATAATCATTACCAAAAAAAAAAAAAAAAACCCAAAAAACAACAGTAGATAAACTGTGAGGAAGTGGAGGGTCTGCACAAACATCATCCCCGCCTGCCCTGGCCATCCCTGCTGGGGCACCGCCAGCTTCTGAAATCATTCCTTTCTTTTCTTTTTTTTTTTCCTAAGAGCCTCGCAGTATCAGTTTTGTGGATAACACAGATTTCCGTACAATTCTTCAATCTTCAACTTCCTTTTTGCATTTAGCAATTATAGTCATCATGGCAATTTCCCCCTGTCAATCATGAGTGGGTGAGCTGTAGAGGGGTGCTGGATCTTTACCAAGTGTAGTGTTTTGGTAAGGATTTTTCACTTTTTCAAAGTGTCATGTACATTGCAATTGCTTGCAAGCAGGAACAGAAGGATGCATATTCCCCTGAATGGCAAAAGCAAAAAAAAAAAAACCACCCCATAAATAGGAAAAACAAAAAAAAAAGTTCCAACAACCTTGGAAAACAAGGCTGAAAAAGCAAAGAGCTGCACAATCCAGCATTTGATCTCCTCGAGGTCAGGACCTCTCGGCCTGGGAAGGGGCAGCGTGGGCTACTGAAGGCCCTGCCGTGCTGCCCTTCGGAGGGAGCAGCAGCACTGCCCGCTCCTGAGAGCGAGCCCCATCTCACCTGGCCTTGAGGAGGGGAGACACGCAGAGAAATCTGCCTCTATTTTCTGCCTGTCCACTAAGGAGAGATGGCTGCATCCAGAGGTGCGCTAAAATTACAGAATTTCCACAAAAATGAGAGTGAAACAGCACGACGGGAAATCAAAACCTTGGTGTAAATCATATTGTTACCTTCATTTCTCAATTTCTCCACTTTTTGTGGAGAAGGGCATTAGATTTTAGTTTTGAAGAACTGTTAATGACCTAAAATCAAGTTTAATTCATTTGTAGCTTACAAACAACTTGAAAGTTACATTTCTAGCTGCTAAATATAATGGCCCCTATGTGAACTCCTGGCATTTCCCCACTTCCTTTGAAGAAAGAGCAAACAATGACCCTCTTCTGTTTTTTAATCAAATGTATTTTATCTCTTCGCTGTTGTTCTGGTTTCTGCCATGATGGGTGGGTGGGCAAAACTTTAAGGATATCTTCTATCATTTTGGGGACATGTGATAAGAGGCAGGCCAGACGCCTTCAAGGCAGCGCTAACGCAAGGGTGACTAATGAATGAGCATGAAAAACGGACACTTGTCAGCCAGGAATTAGATGTAAGCCAGGAACGAGCCGCACAATGAAGCATTACTGTCAGGGGAAGATGGATTTCTGCCCTTGGTAGACCTTAAAGACTCCGTGCTCTGTTCTGTGCTCTTTCTAGTAACTCCAGCGCCAACTTTCCTTCTATAACAAACATGCCAAGCATTTCCAAAAAAAAAAAAAAGCAAGCTTTAAAACACAAAAAGCAAAACCCCATTATTTTCCATCCAGCTTTCATATTAACTACTGCCATTGGAAGAAGTGCATTAGTACTTTGATGTATGCCTTCAGAGAGGCATGTTTTTAGGAAAGTGAAAAATCCTTCACAGCCAGTACCTCTACCCATACATCAGGCAGTCTGCTCCACTACCCATGTAAGTGTGCACAGACATCCATGCAAAGCCAAACACGGGAGAAACACGGCTGAAACGCTAGAGGACAGGTAAGCAGGCACAGTATTTTTTTAACCACTATTAATGGATGAGTGGGTGGATCAGTTACCCACTCAGGTCTATCTCCAGGGGCTGAGAGCGCTGGGCAGAGGCAGGATTAATGCTGCTTTAATTTTACCTAGCCTAATAAGAAAGAAAGAGACCAAAACAGAGAAATAACAGGTGACAAAGGGAAAGCTCCACAGATGTTCTGTGAAGCAAAACATGAACCACGCGCTTATGAAAATGCAGCTAGCTGCGTTTACTTCCCAAAGTTAGGTGACTGATACAGAGTTAGTTAGAGAAACGTGAGCAATAGTGTAAAGCCTGCCTGTTCTTCCTCCACCACTTCCCACAGCTCTGGCATGAAAACAAAGAGACTCCTGTTCCTTCGGGGGGCACTGGAGACTGAAACATGAACTGCACTTCCAAATCTCAGAGACCGAGTGCTACGGGACATACTTTGGCCTCTCGTTTCTGCTCATGGCTGAGTCTGACCTTCGTAAGGGGATCAATCGCACTGGTGGATAAGCACAGGAAAGGCTATGTACAAAAAACTCTTTTTTTTTGTTTTGATTTCGTCCTTGTGCAGCTGCAGTTCTTTGTTGTTAATGACATCAAAGCAGCTTTCCCCTGAGACGGTCGCAGCAGTGTCATCAGTCTGTAACTCCAGAAATCCCTCTGAAACTCCATCAATTCCTTTCAGAAATGCAGAGATCCCTGTATAAAACTGTGGGGCACAGCCAGCTGTGGCTGTCCTGAGGCACGTGCCAAATGCCCTCTACTTGCAAGGCTCCAGGCTACCTGGCTGAATTGAGCCCAGGGCCCTCTCTCCTCTTTTATTCACCGTATATCAACCAAAACATGCACACACTTTTGTTAACTGCTTTGTTCCTGACTGCTTCTCTCGCTCATTCCCAGACACTGAGCAGACCCTGCTACTCAGCTGCTCATTTCTGGGGCATGACGACACAGGTAGGATATTCTCAAGGCTCCCATTAAGGGATTAAACACATACAAATTCAGTTAGGGTTTTTCCATTTGTTTACAAGCAGCATTAGCAGTGAAGCCAACGCCCACCTTCATTTGTTAAGTCTTTACACTTAATTGCAAAGCAATGTGACTGTACTTGTCACTACTGCAGTGGTGTCCTGGAGTTTGGGCGCCCGTCACGCCTGGTGCCTTGGGAAGCAGCGCAGGACTTGCCTTCCGGAGCGGCAGCAGAGATGCTGAACGGGCAGGGAGCCTCCGCACTGCCCTTCCTGCGCTCTCTCCTCGTCCCTTCGGTAATCCCAGCTCAACACCATGCAACTCTGCCCCCTCTTAATGAACCACATGCAGCAGATACCGATTGAAAACTGCTGAAATGGTATGTAAGGAAGGAATTAGTGACCTGTCCCTAACTTCCATACATGCCTACCCAAGAGTACAACATCCTCTTACTATTTTAAATAGTGCATATCCTGGCAAAACTTCCCTATCTACATTTTCCAAACGAGCTTTATCCTTCCCTGCACAGTCTCCTTAACCCACTTAAGCACCACACTTCCTATCTATTGCAGTGTGCTTAACACTGTGGTTGCTACAGGAGCACGTTCCTTACAACGTTGCCTGAATTAGGGACTCAGCTGTGTGAGAACCAAGGGCAAAAGAGGGAATTTGGCAATGCCACACCAAGAGTACAACATCCTCTTATTATTTTAAATAGTGCATATCCTGGCAAAACTTCCCTATCTACATTTTCCAAACGAGCTTTATCCTTCCCTGCACAGTCTCCTTAACCCACTTAAGCACCACACTTCCTATCTATTGCAGTGTGCTTAACGCTGTGGTTGCTACAGGAGGACGTTCCTTACAACGTTGCCTGAATTGGGGACTCAGCTGTGTGAGAAGCAAGGGCAAAAGAGGGACTTTGGCAATGCCACAGAGAGCGTGGGGCCCCAGTGCTAAACAGGCAGGTAACTGTGTGTCAGGAATGAATCCGGGATATTTTCCTCAAATCTGCTTCTACGTATGACTCTATGGCCCCTAAGTGGAGATCATCCATCAGGTAAACTAGTCTGCTCTTCCTACCACGTTTACCTTACTGGTGTACAGTATATGACGTGCATACATTAGCTCCGTGCCTCTGAAAAAATGTCTGGGGAAAAAGGCTTTTAGATAAGTACACTAGAAACTAGTACCAAAATATATAAAAGATTAACAAGTACATTTCCTTACAGCATGGGCTTTTTAAATGAAAAAGAAAATACCTGCTTTTATATATATAATTCTTATTTTATGCTAATGGGTCAAAGGATAAAAATAAAAAAAGGAATATCCAGATTCATTATATCCGAAACGATGATTCAACAGAAATTACAGAGAAAGCTGCTATTTCCTTACAGGTTTTCAACAAATCCAACCTCCCAAAGCAGACTTAGGGCCTATATTCTCCTTGCATTTTCTCAAGGACACCCTGGGTTCCCATCACGGAGTCACCGAGGCTACACCAACACCCACCTGGAGCAAATGAAAAGTGAGGCCATTTGTGCACATGGGCTCAAAGCAATTTGTCTTAGCCAGCCCTTTATTATCTGACCTAAAAATCAGGTTGAATCCTGCAGCTGTTGTTTAGGAAATCTGAAATATGAAAACATACTGGTGCCTCCTGCTGTTCCTGATAGGGGGTACCTACAACATATAGGAAATAAGAGGATAAGTAGCATATGGGATTTTGCACTTTCACGGGCCCATGCCTCAAGCAGCTATCCTATATTTTTCCAGCTCCACCCATGTATACTTTTGGTTTCCCCACTTTCAAGCTTATTAAAATACCCCGAATGGCAGAGTGAAAATTAACTCCGACAGATCTCCTTGTTTAAGCGGATGAAAAGCTCAGCTCCATTCTCACGGGGAGACCAAACCCCCAAGAAAATGAATTCCATGGCCACGAAGGAAGCTGGAAATAATGCTGCTTCTGTCACCCCCAGCTCAGAAACCGCCTGCACGGGGGGGAAGCGTTTCCTGGCGCAGGAAGGTCTTCCAGGAGCACAGTGCTTGCATGGATGCTCTTAAACGTCTTAAAACCCGGCGCAGGCAGGACCTTGGCTTTCAAGTGAGGCTCTTTTCCTCTTTGCATCGCAGGCGTGTGCAAGCCAGAGGCACCTTGGCTCCGGATTTATGGGTGATCCCCTTCCCGCACAAGTGGGGTCTCCGCTTGGCTGCCTGGGAGCGACGTGGCCATTGATTTTCACAGAACTTCCACATCGACGAGGCTGTTATGTACTCCCTGACACACGCCTGACCCTGCTTTAAACAAACACCAGCCACTTCTCCAGGACGCGCATTTTTCACACTTCCAAATTACCTCTCAGTTAATTCTATTACACGCTCAGTGAACAGAGATGTTGGATGCTATTCTTCTGTTTGCCTGTTTTAATGGAGAGCGGCCCTGTTCCTTGAGAGGGCTCTGCAATAACACCAGGAGTCATAGGGAAAAGAGAAAGAGAAAAAGAGAGAGAGAGAGAGAGAGAAAAGGGAGAAAAGAAACAGAAATGAAAATGAAAAGAAAAATAAAAAGGAAAAGGAGACAGAAAAGGAGAAGAGAGGAGAGAGCAGAGAGGAGAGGTGATGTGGGTCTTTTTACTTACTGTGCTGGGAATGGCTTGTTATCAAACAAGTTGAGATGAAACCACCAGGTTCAGCTATTAAAGTATAATAGTTGAACCTAAGCGGAGCGCTCCACACATCCTCCCTTTCCCAGCAGTATCAGTGTTCACTTTCTGTCCCTCTTAAAGGCAGGACTAACCGGTGGCACAAACCTGCGACTGTCGCTGCAGACAGAGGTGAGCACTGGGCTCTGCTGCCCATCTTAAATTTTGGACGTCCTCAATTTTCTAGATTAATAAATACTGCATGGCCCCTTCGCTGCTTTGCAGTCCCTCGGGAAAGCAAAGGGGCATCACGCAACCTTCGGCAGACTTTTCAGATGTGCTCAAAGTTTAGACTGGACTCGGCCTTCGCATTCACAATCCAGACTCAGTCCTCTCAAACCAGGGCGTATATAGATGAACGCCTCCATATGTGAGCGCTCAGCTTAAAGCAGTAATTTTGTGGACGATAATGACACCAGCGTGAGGTACAAACCACGCGGCACATGTCTGAATTCCAAAATTACGTCCCGAGCCTGCTCTTTAAAGGCCTAACATTTCAACTCCCAAGGAGTCAAGCTGACTAGCCTGAGTCACAGCTGTCTGAGGAATGAAAGGCAAAACCAGGAAGACAAAAAACTTACTTAAAAAAAAAACAAAGCATTTTTGAGTTTCAGGTACATAAAGCTCTAGAATTTCTTAAATTAGATTGCTCCAAATTAGATTGCCCCAGGACACTTACAAAAATTAGAAAACTGATCGTTCCTTTCTCTCCAAAATATGTTAAAAAACCTCACAAGTTCTAAACTATCAGCTTCTTCAACAGAAATTTAGGTTCATACCATTAATAAACACATTGGAAGAAACGTCAGTGAATACAAAATAGCTTACATACAGATACATTGATTATACACTACATATAAATAACGCACATAGGTGTGACAGTGCACATAAGTTAGATACCCGTCTAATATCACTTCATTATCTTCAAGTGAAATTCAATTACAGTTTTAAACAGAGTTAATTCAATGGTCATCTGCTAAGGGCTAATAGGAAGGACATGCAAATCTACTCAATGAATTAACTTAGGGCTCACAATCTAAAAGCATCTTCAAACATTGCTAAGCCTCTCTGATGTGCTAAATAACGTTTAGAAGAAAAAAAAAATCAAAATTTATCTCCTTTGTTCCAGTACAGGAAAAGAAAAATGCCCAAAGTCTTTGAAGGTTCCCTGGAACAGAAAAAAAAACATTATGCCCATACGCAGTGGCATTTCTGATGATGCAGGATGCACATGCCTCCACAGTAAGTTAAATATTCCTTTACTCTAGGGAAATTATTCTCTGAGACTAGTCCTGTACTCCACAGTCACAGGTCCTCTTTGTTACCACAAAGTTATTTAGTCTAGAAGTGTTAAAAAATGGGTACTTAAACTTAACCTCCTCCATTTGTATCTGGGTACTTACATGAAAGTTAACTACACTTAGAGGATTTCACCCTGTAATACTTTTCACTGATTAAGCACAAAGCCAGAATCAATATCTAAATGGAGAGCTTTGAATGAGAGACAATCCTTTCCTTGGTGTGTTTGTAAAAAACCTTAATTTTGCTGGAAGAATTCTTGTCTCTCGTTACAATGCTAGGACGCTTGCAGGAAATGGAAGTAAAACATGCTGCAAATCTAATGAGACTTCCCCACAAATTGTGTTTTTGCTGAGGTGAAAACAGTGGAGGAGAGAGAATTGTGGATGGCATATTTTGTTCCCCTTGTACAAAGGAGGACCTCATCATGCAAAGGAGGAATGGGAGTGAGTCCCCAGCATAACTGTTCTGTTACAAAGAAAAGATTTTTTTTAAAAATTAATGCACATTAAATATTTGTACAGTCAAATGAAGATGTGTTTTCAGGGAACTGGTTGCCCTGTCTTTTGGGGGGCTAAGTTTGGAGTGGTTCAAGATACACACTGCGGTCAGTAACGATGAGCGACAGAGATGAAGATGTCAAAGGGTTGAGACGAGCGTTCTCAGTGTTGGCCTACCAGCTGGATTCCTGTGAAAAACCCCTTGGATCACGGGAAGAGGAGCAGGAACATTTAGCGCAGCAATGCCGCGCGGGGCAGGGTACTCACAGGCGATGCGGACGTAGGCTTTGCGGCTCTTGGTGGTGCCGGCCGAGCTCCAGGCCACGCACTGGCACCAGTAATCCTCGGGCCCGAAGAGCTCCTCCACCTGCTGCCGGGACACCTCGATGCTCACCTCCCGCACGATGAGACCTGCGGCGGGGCGAGGAACACGGCTCAGTGCCACGCGCGCCAGCGGGCAGGGGCAGCACGCGCCCGCGCGCGTCGTTCGCGGAGCCGCGTCGCGCACGCGTAGCGCGCGGCTTTGCAAATAATAACCCGCTGTGTGTATGATACACGGCTTGTAATTCTCCATCAATATCTGCTTAGCAACCTGGACCGTGATAGGGATATGGAAGGGGGTGGGGAAGCACAATTTTTATCTGCATAGTAAGAGAAGCGGGTGAGTGAAAAACTGCCCCTTGTCATTTTTGAATTTTATCACACACCGTGGGAAAGCCAGGCAAACCAGAGGACTAGCACCTCGGCTGATATAAATTGCACCATGTCTGCAGGACAATCCACATCAAGTGCCAATCCAGCCCAGTTCTATTTTCATATGAATATCATAAAATCACAGAACCATTTGACTTACACGAATCCCTCAGCCCTCCCATATTTCATCTCTTTTTGCTAGGCAGACACCCCACAGGGAGAGCTCTTGTTCGCCCTGCTGCTAAGTCTGCCCGGGAAAATGCATTTTGCCATTGCATAAAATGTGCCCCTGCTCCATAACGAAGGGCTTCTACTGCTGCACAACTCTCCCTGCAAGCTGCCAGCCCAGGGTCCTTACTGTGATATTCACTGCAGATCCTGCGGTGCATTTTAGAAGGTTTCGCTCCTCACAGCTCTCCTGCATAGACTGTGGCACTGTCCACCAGGAGTCAGGATGGTCCTATCTCAAAGCAATGCAGTAAGAGCCACAGCTGAAGGGAGCCAACAGAAATGTGGGCAGCTAGGATGCTTGGCAGGTCCCTTAGATTCACAACGAGCATCTATGTAAGTCGTTCAACTCCTACTCTCTCTGTGATAAATAGAATAGGACGGGGAGAAGCATTTGCATTCACCACTCAGAGCTGCTTCTTGGGTATGGACACCGACATATGTGTAATTTGGGTCTAATTTTCACCACCAGATAAATGTACAATTTGGGTCTAATTATCTCCACTCTATTTCGGGCAATAGGAAGACTGTGGACAGTGGAGCTTTAAAAAGAAAATGGAGAAAATCAAAGTAATTTAAAGCAATTTTCCAAAACAATTGGTAATTGTACTTATGACTGTGCACTGAAAAACCAGATATTCTTAAAAATGCATCCCTAGCTTGGTGGACCCTTTCCACACAAGCGTTTCCTGCCAAAAAACTCGGTGAACGACCATAGGATTCCTACGACAGTCACAAAGTTGTAAAAGTTGAGTAAAAGCCCCCAAAGTAGCTGCTGCTCTACAAGGCTCCTGGCTGCACAGTCGTGCCCTGGAAGCCCAGGTCGGCCTCCCCCACGTGCTCCCCTCGTCAACAGGCTGCACCGGCCGCGCGGGAGATGAGCCGCTCTTCGGAGGCGGGAATGTTACCTTTCTTAATGCATGCAAATAGTAACGTAATTGCACGGTATTATGGCACATTATTACCAGCTGCAATGATAATTTGTGGGCTCCGTATTCCACCCACTGCAACAACTGGCAAATTTCCCAAAGATTTTAATAAAAGTAGGTTGGCTAAGAAGGGTAAGACAATGTCTTACAAGGCTCTGCAGCTGTATGTGACAGCTCATGACAAGAAATGATCGCTGTAACCATTTGAAAAGGTAGGAAAAATTCAATTAATTAAATATAATTATCCAAGCTGGAGTCAGCCCAGGTCAGAGAATTAATAGTGAGGCAGCACCTCACTGGGCATCTTTGTGCCAAGTAATTGGTGTGATGCATTTTGGCTGCCAAAAATGTTAGGTGTTTCATATTAACAACCTGTATGAATGAAAATATTCCTCGGGACTTTGAGGGAGCAATTCTTTTGTCACATTGGCATGTGTGCTTCCACATGCTAAGAAACTGGAAGGATAATTTATTCCCTCTCTGCATGGAAACTCCAGTAATGCTTGTGCTTTCATTTGCCCAAAAGGTATTTCATTAATTGGCGATCCCTTTTGCCGAAGACGACAGAACTTTGTGCCCAGCTGCTCTGGAAAAAGACCTTGTAATAGGTGCGTATGGGCTGCAGGGGTAAGGACGGATGCAAAGGCACCCTGTTCCCACACCCTGCAGCCCTCTACAAGTTCTGTTTCTTGACACCCACACTCAGAGCATCCCCCCTGAATTTGCTGCCACTGCTCTGGGCCTTGCAGCACCGGGGAGGGTGTTTCTGGGTGAGACCAGAGGCTTTTTGCAGCAAAACCGCAAGGGTTGAGGGGCCCCTCGACACGTGCACGTAGCACCCGCCAGCAGAGAATTCAATCTCATGGCATGTAACTTGGGGCTGCACGGAGGAAAACATGGCAATTACGCACCCAAATCTGCCTTTCATACACTGAGAAAAATATGGTGATTTGCCCAGTCCTAAAATAAATCAGTGCCAGTCTGAACAGTCTACGCTTTCTGACTCACAGCTCCGCTTTCTGACTATTAGGAATAAGAAAGGGGAGTGAATACTTTGTGAAAATTGCTCACTTGGTATGTATTTTAGTGATATAAATAGACATACCTTTTATTGCAAGAGGAGGGTGGAAAAAGCATCCTGATACCAAAAAAGAAAACAGGAGTTTTGCAGTAATTTCAGGAGGGGCTGGATTATCTCCCAATACTTGGGAAACATCGTGAGCACATTTTTAGCTCACATTGTCCCTCAATATCCCTTGACGCCTTAAACTTCATTACAAACTTCACCCCAAATCTATAAAGCACCACAGAATTTTTTGCTTTGTGGAAGTGGCCAAGATTATAGGCACATGAAGTAAAAGCCACCTGGATTGCTTTCTCACCATGTACCTCATTGCTCTCTGATGGTAAAACTTAAGTGACCCAAGCCAAGAATGATGATGTTTCCACTTTGTGATAATGCAGAATTACCTGCCTGATTCATTAAATTGCTCAGCACAGGTGCCGGAAAGAGCCTGTCTCTGTAGCATAAGGCTGATTACTTTACTCAGTGAAACAGCCTTTTTACAAAGGTACGAATAAAATCAGGGCTATGTCAGAATGGAAAGTTATTTACACCCTTGCAGAGATGGATCCCTCGCAGTCACGGAGTAATTCTCTTCAAATGTATCAGGGTACTTATGCTATGGAATTGGGTGTTTTAAAAATGAATAAATGGCTGTGCA